CTCTCCACAGTTTTGTCCCTCGGTGATGTTTTCGTAGTACCTAGGAGAAGCCCTGTAGAGATAGCATCACCATCACCGTCACCACGCCACTGTGCTGCCGGAACTCATCTACTACTTCGCCCCGTCTTGCTGGATCAACAAGGCGAGGACGTCACCGAGCTGAACGTGTGCTGAACGCGGAGGTGACGTATGTTCGATACTCGATCAGTTGGATCGCGAAGAAGTTCGACTACATCAACCGCGTCAATAAATGCTTCCGCTTATGGTCTACAAGGGTACATAGACACACTCTCTCGTCTCGTTGCTATGCATCTCCATGGATAGATCTTGCGTGTCCATAGATTTTTTTTTGTTTTCCATGCAACGTTTCCCAACATAATGGCATATAAAACATTCAAGATTGATACTATAATATCATGAACCAATAAAAAATTATTAATACGTTGGAGACATATAAGCAGCTGTTACAATACATGCCCGACATTACAGTAAGCTCAAACAACGATAAAAGATATAATATTTTGTATTGAACTCTTCATTTACTTTGGGCATTTTTTATCTTCTTTTGCATCAGATCGAGGTCCTCTTCGGACCGCTTCAGCTTCTGGTTCATCTTCACTAACTCTTCGGAGACAGAGCTCGAAGCTGAAATAGAGGCCTACATAAATGATTAAAACAATTAGTTGTTCAAGCTCGATTTTGATCCTTTGATGGCTTTATACCAAACCAACCAAAGTCTCGGGTGCTACTGTATGGCCATATTCACACAAACATCAAGACGACCCCCAAGTCAGTTCTTTAAACCAACTTAGGGCTCGGGGGCTACTAATGGCTACGCTACAAACTATTGTATTGTCTTTGGACAAGAGTTTTTTTATCCACGTTAGAAGAGAGCTGGCATAAAATTGGCAATATATATACTACGGGGTGAATTTCAAGTACGGTAAACATACCTCAAAGCCTCTAAGGAGACCCTTGATGGCCTCTTGCATTATGGCGTCCACGGACTGGAAGCTCTCGAGTGATGTGCCAATGAGGGCACAGTGCTCTTCCGGGATGGAGGAGCAGGAGGGGAAGGCGGAGCCGCTTAGTGTTCACTCGTCATGGTGGCAGGGACGATAACCTCTGGCTGCTTTGGCAGTCCTAGAGTGATCTGGGCTGAGGATCCACCTCGGCCCAGCTCGTCTTCGATAACCACGGGGACATCTTCCCTGTGGTCTTTGGCGGCCGAGGACTGGACCTCGGCCAATGAATCACCGACGCCCGCCCCCGTGTGGTCAGCGGTAGGGGTCAGGCGCGACGTCGCTTTCCCTAGCCCATCAGGGCCAGAGGGGGGAATAGGATGCTCCATGGACCCACTCTCCGCCATAGAAGGTGGAGGGAGACCACCGTCCTCAGCTGCGTCGCCGATGTTCACGCGTTGCGGGCTACAGAAGATGAATCAATAATTAGGCATCTACATGAGGAACCATAAACACATTCCAAAGCGTTCTACTAAGAATACCTTCTAGGTGCAGGCTTCGATCTGCACGGCTGGGTAAGGGGGTTGTAGAATCCGAGAAGTAAGTCTAGAGGGGGGTGATTAGACTTACTTGACCAAATAAAAACTATGCATTTTCCCAATTTTAGTCTTTGGCAAATTTTAGCTATCTTAGCACAAGTCAAGCAATCTTCACACAATTCAAGCAAGCATGCAAAGTGTATATGAGCAGCGAAAAGTAAAGCATGCAACTTGCAAGAATGTAAAGGGAAGGGTTTGGAGATTTCAAACGCAATTTGGAGACATGGTGATTTTTGAGTCGTGGTTCCGATAGGTGGTGCTATCGTACATCCACGTTGATGGAGACTTCAACCCACGAAGGGTAACGGTTGCGCGAGTCCACGGAGGGCTCCACCCAAGAAGGGTCCACGAAGAAGCAACCTTGTCTATCCCATCATGGCCGTCGCCCACGAAGGACTTGCCTCACTAGCGGTAGATCTTCACGAAGTAGGCGATCTCCTTGCCCTTACAAACTCCTTGGTTTAACTTCACAATCTTGTCGGAGGCTCCCAAGTGACACCTAGCCAATCTAGGGGACACCACTCTTCAGTAAGTAACAAATGGTGTGTTGATGATGAACTCCTTGCTCTAGTGCTTCAAATGATAGTCTCCGCAACAGTCAACTCTCTCTCACAGGATTTGGATTTGGTGGAAAGAAGATTTGAGTGGAAAGCAACTTGGGGAAGGCTAGAGATCAAGATTCATATGGTAGGAATGGAATATCTTGGCCTCAACACATGAGTAGGTAGTTCTCTCTCAGAAATGGTAAGTTGGAAGTGTAGGTTCATTCTGATGGCTCTCTCCATGAATGAAGAGGAGGTGGAGGGGTATATAAAGCCTTCACACAAAATCTAACTGTTACACACAATTTACCAATCTCGGTGGGACCGAATCAACAAACTCGGTCAGACCGATTTAGTAAACCTAGTGACCGTTAGGATTTTCGGTGGGACCGACATGCAACTCGGTAGGACCGATATGGTTAGGGTTAGGGCATAACGTAATCTCGATGAGACCGATTTTGGTAATAAGCTGACCAGAGAGTTGGTCAGGCAAACTCGGTGGGACCGATTACTCAAACTCGATGGGACCAATTTTGGTAATAAGTTAACCAGAGAGTTTGCATTGTAATCTCGGTAAGACCAATTTTGATAGTGGACATACACAGAGATATTACAACCCCATCTCGGTGAGACCGAAATCCCTATCGGTGAGACCGATTTGCCTAGGGTTTGTGGCAGTGGCTATGACATCTGAACTCGGTGGCGCCGGATAGAAAGAATCGGTGGGGCCGAGTTTGACTTTAGGTTTAGGTCATGTGTGGATATGGGAAAGTAGTTGAGGGCTTTGGAGCATATCACTAAGCACTTTGAGCAAGCAAGCCATTAAGTAACACCTCATCCCCTCTTGATAGTATTGGATTTTCCTATAGACTCAATTGATCTTGGATCACTAAAATGTAAAATGTAGAGTCTTGAGCTTGAAGCTTGAGCCAATCCTTTGTCCTTAGCATCTTGAAGGAGTTCCACATCCTTTAGTCCATGCCACTCCATTGTTGAACTTATCTGAAACATACTAGATAAAAGTGTTAGTTCAACAAAAGATATGTTGACATTAATTACCAAAACCATCCAAGGAGCACTTGTGCTTTCAGGGATCCTCCGAGGTGTCGAAGATGGTCACCCCAACGGGCGCGAGTCATTGCCCGGCCGGCGCACCCGAGGCCTTGTGCAGCTTCCTGCGGGGCTAGTGTTGTGCCTCCTCCACGGGGGCCTCGAATGTTGTTATCTTCCTTTTTGGAGAGGCCACCTCCTCTTCTTCGTCTTCTGTCTCATGTACTGCTTTCCCCTCCTACTCTGCTATCAAGTTTCTCTCAGAACCAAACGAAACTGAATTCTGACATGCAATTAGTCTAGTGTAACACCTTCCAATTAGTTTTTATAGAACAACCTTTGAATTATATTTGTGACATAAGACTGGCTCGGCTGCAGAGGCGGGTGTTGCAGGCAATTTAAAGTACCAAAAAAAGGGAGTTCCTAACCAGCACGCAGGAGACCTCCTATTTAGTAACATGCATGGGGGAGAGCGCACAAACAAGCACCGCCTCCCTCCTCGTGCGCAAGATTTGGGTCGGACCATGTGTGGACGTGTGGCGCCCTTGGTTTTCCCTTGCATTTAATATATATATTTTTGCTTCATAATGTTCAAGATTTCAAAAAAAAATTGTATTTAAAAAATATATTAAAATTTTTACAAAATGCATTTGGATTAAAAAATGTTTATGAGTTCAAAAAACACTCTTGATTTTTATGAAAATAATTGGTGAACTACAAAATGTTTGCAATTTTTAAAAATATATGTAAATTCAGAAACATTCAAGAATTTGGAAAAAACTTCACAAAATTGAAAAAATATTCCCGAACCAAAATTTTACAAATTTTTCAAAAAAAATCATGGATTTAATCAAAAAATATTCAGGAAGTTGAAGAAATATCCGTAAATTAAAAACCGTATATCTTTTTCAAAAAAAATTGTTAGTTTGATAAAATTTCACCAATTTTTAAAGGTGCTCGCGTATTTATAAATTTCTTATGACCTTCTATTTTTTTTAATTTCCACAAATGATCATGATTTTGAAAAAAAATCACAACTTTCAAAAATATGTAGGCGAGTTTGAAAATAACATATTCAAGTGTTAAAATTTTATCCTCGATTTCAATATTTTTCACGAATTTGTATTGTTTGGAAGATTTTCATAAAATTAATAAATTGAAAAATTATTCGTGAATTTATTTTATTTTATGAATTTTACAAAAACAATTAAATTTGAAAAACTAAAAAACCAAAATAAAAAGGAAAACGGAAAACGAAAAAGAAAAAAAACTAAGAAGAAGAAGCAAAAGAAGCAAAAAGATAGAGGCGAAAACCCAGAATTGGCCGTCCTATCAGGGGACTAGGAGCGATTAATCTTTATCTTTATCTTTACCTCTTTATCTTTTTTTTTACTAATAATCCAGCCATTGCTTCTGGTTGTACGTCGCTGACCTTTTTGCAAATAATCCGCAGTCCTGTCTTAAAGGATAACGTTTCGTTCCTCCGCCACTTATCCATTGCTTGCCTCCACTTTACCGTCGGTCACACCGCGCCGCTTGCCGCCGGCGTCGACGTCGCAGAAATCAAGGCAGGGGGATGCGCCGCGGCGGGCGTCGGCGCTTCCCTAGCCCAGGAACGGGGCGAGGCTTTGGGGCGGACCGAGGCATCGCGGCTGCCGTTGTAGGCGTCGGGCGCGGCGGACCGAGGCGCTGCGGCGGGGCGGCTTCGGCCTGGAGTGCGGGCGCTACTGCAACGGTGAACCGGAGGAGAGGCTCCGGCAGTGGAGCCAGGCATGGCTTGGCGTCGCCAAGAGCAAGGAGGTCGTCGCTGCCGGCCTCCGCGCCACGAGCCGGTGGGCGAGCCCGGTATGCCGGCGATGGATGCGTGCGCGCTCTACGCCAGGCGCCTGGCGCGCGACAGCGACGTCTTCATGTACAAAGGGGACACACCATTCTGCAGCAAGGAGTGCCGGCACGAGCATATGCATCTTGATGCTGTCTCCGCCAGGCAGGCAGCCCGGAGGCTGCAGAGGGTCTCGGCGGGAGCAGAGTCCGGGCGTGCACACCACGGGGTGTCCGTCTCAAGCTAACCGGCGAGAGCGCCAAGGTTCATATGGTGCCTGACGAAGAAATGTTATTCGGCTTGTGCCAAAGAGATTTGCGTGCACGAAGCCGCTGGTGTGCAGTGATAATTGATCGAGCAGAGCCAGAACGAGGAGACTGGCCTTGCTTGAAGAAGGAAGACGTGGCTCACCGGAGTTGCTCACGGCAGGCCGGCGCTGCATGTGCCGCCTGTCAAGTGATTTGGGCATAAACGCAGCAGAAAAGTGACTGGATTGGATTGGATTTGGGCATAGGTGACGTTGCAGACCGTGTCCTTGTCGAACACAATTCAATGAAGTTTCCAACCCGGATTGTTGTTCTCTGCTATAAGAAGGAAGAGTAGTCGGCTGGAATCTCCATCAGATCAATTTTGCACAAAACATCCAATGTCTTCGCCGAGTTCGTCGGAGGAAGAAGCGTCGAGTTCGCCGCTGGTACAAGAACATCCGTCGAGCATTCTAATGTCGCCTGCGGCGGCTACACCAGAGGTATGTTTGACCCCTGTATGACCCCTGCGGCGAGCCCGTGCGCGGCGACTGTTGCTGCTCGCGCGCTCGTGCGCGTCCCTGCTGCTGCCGCTGCTCGCTCGTGCCTCGTGCGCGGCGACTGTTGCTGCTCGAGCGCTCGTGCGCGTCCCTGCTGCTACTACTTCTCGCTCGTGCCCGTGCTCTGCAGCTAGCTGAAATCACTCTGAAGCTGTGAACCGAACGCGTGTGTTCTGAATCTTCTGAACTGAATGTTTGAAAGATAGTTTTGTCCTTCTGAAAAGATTTGCTTGCTTGTCATTGCTTTCATTGATTATTACTCAGTTATAGTGCTTGATGGATTTGATCATCTATGATAGCCTTACTCATATAGTACTAATGAAATTCAATTGCATACTGAAATCTGCTTGGTTATGTACACTGCAGTCCATGCTAATTTCATAGCAGAGCATTGCTGGTTGTCATATTTTTGTTCTGAAATTTTTCTGCTAATCTGGGCATCCACTGCTTTGTCAGGCTGAACATTATAACTCAAAATTCAGAACATATGCCGTCACTTTGCATCCAAGAGTTTATTTATGGCTATACGCTTTCATGTTGCCCGATTTCAGTCAGAGCTTCATTTTTGTATCTCCAATTGCTTACTCATCTATTAGCTTTGCAGTGGCATACACATGAGTAGATATCTCAGTGTGTACCACAAACATCTTATGTTGGATATGTGTGCTTTCCAACATATATTTGAAGTGTAACCAGCCTTTCGCAGTTGGATGTATTCTGAACATACGAGTTTATCTCCTGAACCCATGGTTACTTACTGAACATAGAGTAGCAAAACTAAAAGTATATATACTGTACCGTACTTTCAGTAATATAGATGCCAATATCATTACCTTTTTCAGTTAGGGGATAGTGGGGATTCACTTTGGTATAAATCTGATTGATAGTTACTGCTCTATTGTCTGAAAATTGAGAGTTTCAAGGATCCCAAATATTCCAAAGGATGAGCAAAGTCATGAAATGCTTCCAATTGATGATTTCCTGGCAGTTTGGAGTGTTCCAGTAGCACACCAAACAACTTTTGCTGCAGGACACTGAATGAATAGATGAGAGCAAGTTTCTGTGGCTTAGAGACACATGGGGCAGATGTCTGAATCAAGTATGGTCTTGTGTAAATTTTGACATGTGTTCAGTCTTCCGTTATGTAGTAGCCATCCAAAAAAAATATTGTTGGGCACCCTTGACGACCAAATCAGAGAGAGTGGGGTCGTCAATTCCTTGGTATCTCTATCCTCAACCAAACTATGGCATCCAACCTTCGGTCAGGTTCACTATTCTTCAATCTTAGTGCTGCATATTCCTATTTGAATGATACTTGGTGCATAAAATTAGTGATTCAGAAAAATCATTTTTTTTCTTTGTTACGAATAAATCTGCAACTCTCCCAGATAGAAGATTACCACTAAAAGAGAACACTGTTAGTCTTGGTAGGTGAAGTCAGATTGTGTACTAACATTGTTGTAATATCTGTATCCTATTTCTTGCCACTGTTTGTGCTATTTTTCTTACACAGAATGGCCATGTTTAAATTTCCTTTGTCAATTGCCTTTAAATTAAGAAATCGGGGTAATAAATAGAATGTGTCTGTTCCATTACCCACACCTGTAGCATTTTCTACTATTGAATAGTTGGATCAATAAAAACTTCATATTCTTTTTTTGTAGAAGAGCAATGTTCTACCTGCTTATAACTACTCCCTCCGTTCCTAAATATTTGTCTTTCTAGAGATTTCAACAAGTGACTACATACGGAGCAAAATGAGTGAATCTACACTATTAAATATGTCTATATACATCGGCATGTGATAGTCCATTTGGAATCTCTAAAAGACAAATATTTAGGAACGGAGGGAGTATATGTTATTCCTGAGTTGTTATTTGTAAGATGATAATGATTGATAAGAATTTATGCCATTCTTTCTCCTGCCCCCTTCTCTCTGTAGAGTTAACTACCCGTGGAGGTTTGAGGAAGAGCTCACTGGGCAAATTCGTTGGTGGGACTCAGCCGGCAAAGGACAGAGACACTCCGGCAAGGTCGAGTCGGTGGCTGGGCTTAGCCAAAAGGAGAGCTCTGGAGGTCATGTGCGGCAAGGGCAGTGAGTGGTAACACGAATGGGTTACCGTGTTGCAATGAAGGGTGTGGGCTTATGGGTTCTTGACTCGTGAGTCATGCTTAATGGGCTAAGGGCATCTGATATTTTCTTGATTCTGTTCCAGCACCAGTTTACCGCGGTAAAGATAATCCACAACTTTATGATCAGAAGATGGAATGATTGTTGTAAATTAACATCCTCTTTTGCAGTGGGAGCGAGGCATTGTAGTTATTTTGTATTGCAACCCAAAACTGGTAAACATCACTTGTCCTTTGAGGAGGTGCATTGTGCTCATCGATAAGTTGTGCCCTGAACTTTTTTCTCATTGAGTTTTGGTACATTTGGTATTGTTCGATATGCTATCTAATATATAGTGTGTGCTCCTACTTCAGTTGATCAATTGTTTTTCACTTAGCAGTGGGTGATTGATGGACCAATTATGCCAGTAACGTCCTTAATTCAGAGAAGATGCAAAACCGACAACATGGATGAGCTTGCATACTTGCCGGTAGTGTAGCTTTCTGCTGGACCATATATTCTGCCAGGAGAAGTTTCAGTGACCAATGGAAGCTTTGATGTATTTTTTTCAAGCAAAAGTAATCGTCTATTACCCATGTCAGGTTTCGACTCAAATTGTGGTACTTCTGTTCTATGCAATTTTATTTTCTTACTGATGTTATGTTCTGGCATTCCTTATCTTTTATGCATGATGTGTGTCTTAGTGCTAATAAGAACTATTTTTTTCCCAATGATAAATCTACCTTTTCCCCATCATGTGACTTGAAGCTAATCTATTCATGGTTAGTTTTCCTTCCTGTACAAAGGTCATCTGTTTCGGTACAGTTTTTTCTTTGCTTTCTTTTACTGTAACATAGACCATGCTCACATGGTCGCAACTTGTAAACAGAGATGGAAACATGCATATAGATCTCTCAAGCATGCAATATTTATCCAGGGTGACAATTTTTTACATGGCTTTATAAATGAAGACACCTTTTGGTTGGCTCTATTTGTTGTATATAAGTTATATCTGAATATACCTTTGGATGCTTATACCATAACTAATGGCCCTGGATAAGTTATATCTGAAGATACCTTTGGTGACCCCTTTCTATGTTCATTGGTGAAGAATAGTGAAAAAAACCAGAATCAAACCATGAGACGACATAGAGGAACACTACTTGGGGCAGTACAATGTTATAGTGGTCGCTTTGTTGAGAGGTGAGCAAATACATGAAGCCAACAGAGCAACTGGGTGGGTGAATAATGACTAGCTCTGATTTACTTCGATGTCTCAGTGCTCAATTTATCTTTTCTGTACGATTATTTGTCCTGCTCCTACAATTCTCACACTTTATGTGAAAGAAGATCCCACAAGAATTATCATTGTTTGTGTTTAAGAGAGCCATAAGGTTTATCAATATCATAGTGAGGCATTGAGTTACGTATTACTGAATCTCAGTCAAGTTTTTCAAACATGCAAATTATATCACAGCTCATTCTTCATTCTTCAGCAAGGCAGCACAAGGGGACTACATGGAGCAACACCACCAGAATTTATGTATGCATTTGCTTTAGCCAAGATAACTGAATCCCGGGCGACCTTTCAAACATGCAAATTATGTTACGGTTCATGTTGCAACGCATGGGCAATTAAATGACGAGGGGCAATTATTCGTTTACTAGGGATAATGAGATGGTGAACGGGAAGAGAGACAGTGTGTGTAGTTCATCTCGCAACGACAATATCTTCTTTTTACGAGAGCGTGCGTGTTTGTGTAGGCAAGTCCTTATGTTTGGTCCAAGCCCAAATAGTGCAATAAACAATTACAAATAAAATATAATTTTCAAAAAGACAAAACATTCTTTAAAAAAACATTTGTTAAAAAAGTCTTTTTTTAAGAAATGTTCCAATTTAGTAAAAACATTTACTATTGTTAAAAAAGTGTTCCAATTTTTATGTAAACGTTAACTTTTATTAAAAATAAGAAAATGTCCATGTTTATTAAAAAGTGTTCAGGAGTTTCAAAAAAAAATGATTTGAAAAAGAATAAGAGAATAGTGAAAAGATAGTTTGCAAATTTGTAAAAACATTTGTTAATTTTTAAAATGTTCTAAAAAATTTAAAACATGCTCATAAATTCAGAAAAATGTGTAATAAATATAGAAATTATTAATAATAGTTATTTATTTTCTAAAAGAAATGAAAAAATGAGAAGAAAACTCAAAATTACATTTTTATTAAAAAAACACATAAGGTTCTGGATCCTTCTTTATCATGGGAACCACACACAATAAAAAGGCAGAAATGGGTTGAACCAATATGTGGCAGCAACACTCTTCAGCAACC